TACCAAACATTAGCTACCATTAGCAAACATTAGCCAACCTTAGCAAACCATTAGCAAACCATTAGCCAACATTAGCTACCATTAGCCAACATTAGCTACCATTAGCTAACCTTAGCAAACCATTATTAAACATTAGCCAACCTTAGCAAACCATTAGCTAACCTTAGCTACCATTGATTAGCTCATGTTTAATATGATCCAGCCCACATGGAGGTGGCTCTGATCAATCCAAACAGGCCAGGCTGATTGGAGCTGGGGCAGGCCTTACAATCCAAAAACCAGGACCAACCACCCCAGGGGGCATTACAGAACCCCATGAGATCCTGACCTGCATCTGGACACAAGTAAGAATCTTTACAATGCTTTGTGTAGTCCAGAACCATGTTCCCAGGACCACCATCTGCTGGTCCAAACCAGAACAGTGTTCAGAGAGGGGTCTGGACGTCACCCTTGAGTGGTCTTACACCCAGAAAACACCCAGRCTGTGTTCTGTGGACAGCCTGCCTCATTGTGGACCTCTCGTCCCCCAGGTCCCCTAATCTTTTCCCCGTCCAACATGTTCAGAATCGACTGAGACGAGAAGCAGACCTAAGATGGAGCCAAACCCCACTGATCTGAGACCAGCCATGTCTCTGACCCCATGTTTTCACTGTAATCCAGAACATTTAATACGTCTCGTTTTGTTTCTGACACGTTGACGCTCTCACCAACATGTTAAACATTTCTCACATAATCCTCTGAGCGGAAGATGATGCTTGCAGCTCTTTGTCTGATTTTCTTTTAAATTACTGATAAAACAAGCGCAGACAAAGATAAGGTAACAACAGCTATTTGCTCCTAAATGCAGGAATCAAAACAAAAAGAATAAAAACACTAATCTTAGACGTGCTTTGTTTTAGCGCAGAAACAAAATATTGTAAGTGGTTTGTTGTTTACTGAATGATCCAGATAATCTGTGTGGATATTACCCAGTAATATTCTCCCCGAGCAGCTGAAACAAAAACAAACATGAAGCTAAAGGCCGAGACTGAAAACACTGAGAACCTGGAGAAAAATGACTCGTTCCTCTCAGATCCTGCAGAGCTTAAGTAAAGGTTTTAGCTCCGAGTCGCAGCCGAAGATCTTCATCAAACCTCTGATCAACAAGAACCTGAAGGTTTTTAAACCGAGACAACCTGTGTGACGGTTTTAATCTGAAGACATAAATGTTTCATCATTTTAAGGTAAAGACAGAGCAGCAGATGTTTTCTCACAGTTTAGCCTCAGACATGAGGCCACATCTGTAAATGTGGTTATCTGAGCAGAATTGGTGCTGCCTTAAATTACCCATGAAATGAACCTTAATTCAATTCATCTCCTCATCATTTGCTCTGTAATAATCTGCTCCATTTTCTGGGTTTGGAGCCCCAGTCTGAGCTCAGGACTGGGGGTAAATCCTGCTGCGAGCGGCGGCGCTGCAGCAAAGCTGGATTTCGTTGAAGCCTCTTTACCTTCAGAACATATCAAAGCAGAAATTTAAGGTGGAGCCGGAGTTCAGGGGGGGTTAGAGGATAATCCTCGGGAGTCGCAGCTGACAGACCGTCAGCCTGCAGGCGGAGGCTTTCACGGGAAGACGTGTCGCCGCAGAGTTTCAGAAACAGGACAGATAATCCACAGTAAACACGGTGAGACTTCCTGTTTGCCTCTGATTCGTCTGAGCTGGCTGAGTGCCGTCAGCGCGGCGCTCAGACGCTCCTCTGGCAGGTGTCGGACACGCGGGGACGAGTTCAAACTCCAGGAAATAATCCCACTCCAAACTCTGGTTTATTTCCCTCTGAAGGTTTACACTGAGATGAAAGGAAGGAGGAGAGCTTGTCCAGGTGGAGCGAGGGAAAGATGACGGATGAAAAATGCAAAGAGGGAAGAATAAATTCATATTTGAAGATTTTAAAACTCATTTAAGGTGGTTCTTTGTCAAACTTTTGCTCTACAGAAACCTGTTGGATCATCTTCTTTTTCAATAACCCTTAAAAATAAAGATTTATGTTAAAAAAGTTAGTTAATTTAGAAAAAAATCATTTTTTTACAAAAACTTTTCAAGTATCAGAACACAAAGCAAAAAAATCCTATAAAAAACATAAAGACCGTGTGTTTAAAGGATGAAGATTTTATCATGAAGGAAAACTAAATCAAATAAAGACAGAATCAAGTTAAATAAAGAAACGAGGAAGAGGAGGAAGGACTGCAGGCTTCAGTTTCCCATCAGTGAACATCAACAGGAAGAGGAGGAGGACCAGGGCTGAGGGGAGGAAG